TCGCCAAGACGTCGAACGGACAAAATGTCGAATAGCCAAAATATCGAAAAGCCAAGACGTCGAAAAGTCAAAACTGCGAATGGACTAAATGTCGAAAAGTCAAGACGTCAAATGGTCAAAATGTCGAATGGACAAAATATCGAGACGTTATTTTGCTCTGAGTTTCCCTTCTATATAATGCACTAGTTTGTGTTGCGTTTAACACTCGATAGATATCGCTAGTTGTATTGTTTTTAATGTTTTTTTTTACATTTTTTATAATAATAATAATAATAATAATAATAATAATAGTAGTAAAGTAATTATTATAGTATAATAATAATAATAAAAAATTTTTGACATGAGAATAATTATTGTTTTTATCTTTATAAATACAAACTTTTAATTTTAAACAGTTAAACTAGTGTGCATTATATAGAAGGGAAACTCAGAGCAAAATAATGTCTCGATATTTTGTCCATTCTACATTTTGACCATTTGACGTCTTGACTTTTCGACATTTAGTCCATTCGCAGTTTTGACTTTTCGACGTCTTGGCTTTTCGACATTTTGGCTATTCGACATTTTGTCCGTTCGACGTCTTGGCGATTCGATATTTTGTCCGTTCGATGTTTTGGCTATTTGACATTTTGTCCGTTCGACGTTTTGGCTTTTCGACATTTTGTCCGTTCGACGTCTTGGCTATTCGACGTTTCAATCATTCGACTTCTTGACTATTCGACATTTTGGCAATTCTATATTTTGTCTGTTCGAAGTTTTGGCTATTCGACATTTTGTCTGTTCGACGTCTTGGTTTTTCGACATTTTGACCTTTCGACGTTTTGACTATTCGACGTTTTGACTATGCGACGTCTTGACTTTTCGACCTTTTTGTCCATTCGACAGTTTGGCTTTTCGATATTTTGTCCATTCGACGTTTTGCTATTCAACGTTTTGTCCATTCGACATTTTGTCCTTTCGGGGAAAAGCAGTCGTCTCACTTTTTATATGTAATTACATGTAAAAACCTTTAAAATAAAAACTCAATGAAGAAAATTGGTTAATATTTGTCAATATATTAGGTTTTTTTATATTGAGCTCAATTAAGAGTCGATTTTGAATTTTTTTGATATTTTAGGTCATACCTATTTCCAAACCCTTTATATTTATATTAAATATATTTTTTATATTTTAATACTTTTTGTACAACAAATTAATTTATATGATTTAGAAAGAACGAAACAAATTTTTTTATTACTACTGGTAGAGAATGATATTCGTAAAATATCATAAGCAAAATAAGAAGTTGAATAATTTTCAAACTAAACAATAGATTTAAAATTTTGAAACAAAAATGTATATAAATGGATATCATGCATTGAGACTTATGCGAACAATGTCGAATTTTTATTTCGTTACTTTTAACTGAGTTGTATTATACTGATTATTATAGTTCATGCAAGATATCCATTTATATACATTTTTGTTTCAAAATTTTAAATCTATTGTTTAGTTTGAAACTTATTCAGCTTCTTTATTTTGCTTATGATATTTTACGAATATCATTCTCTACCAGTTGTAATAAAAAAATTTGTTTCGTTCTTTCTAAATCATATAAATTAATTTGTTGTGCAAAAAGTATTAAAATATAAAAAATATATTTAAGATACTTTTTGTAAGATTTGTTTGCCTACATGTAGTTACAACTTCCAAACTGAGTGTTTTTAGAATATTCGCAAAATTAAATAAACAACGAAAATACCGATATCTCGAAAAAAGGAGCAGCTAGGATTTTGATTTTGACGAATTTTTACTTCTGATATGATGTAGAATAATCCCCAAAAACCCGATTTTGGATCCATTTTAGTCAAACTTTTTTTTGGTTCAGGCACGGTGTGAGGAGGCATATTTACCCAATAATAGATGGTGCTACACAAAAGGTGACAAGGATTACATGGTTTTTGCTAAAGTTGAAGAAGACGCTTCAGTGATAAAAAGAGTTATTGTATTTCCTGATTCTTCTGTGAAAGTAATGATAGACGAAACTATATCACCATACTCAAGATTTATACATATTAAAGATATTAATGAGTTCATCGATCTTTTAAAAATGGTAGACCATATTAAATAAGAAAATTATTATTTTTTATATGAATTATATTTAAATTAATTTTAAACTTTTTAAAGATATTTTATTTTATTGAATATGATAAAATGTAAGTGAACAATTCTTATTACTATTTAACGTATATATATATATATATATATATATATATATATATGCAAATAATTATGTTAATAATAATTTATTTAAATGAATTTTTTTTTATCATAAGCCAATTATTTTAACTGATCTTTTCTTTTACTATATGTAGGCAAGGAATTTTTTTTCCCTGTTTTATATGTTTTTTTCTTTTTAAGAGCTATTTTTGTTGGATCCTCGCAACAATTCATTTCCCCAGCAAACACTGTTATATATCTGTTCTAGAACTGTTACAAATTTCTTGAGAACATGTTCTGTAACTGGTTAAGAACGTGTGAGTCACTGGTTACGCAAAACGTCGTACTCAGCAGGTATGTTCAGATATGTAACAAATCTAGAACGCGGTTACAAAGTCATTTGTAACAGTTCTAGAACTGTGTTGTAACAACTATGAAAAGAGGAATGTAACCAGTAAGGAACAGAGTTCTGTATTTGTTACGTAACTAAATTACGTAACAAGGATAAAAAAATATTATATATGTGTTACGTAAACGTATCACAGTGTAGGAACAAAAATCTATATTTGTGACATAACATTGTTTCAGTATGAATATGTATCATAGTTCTTTAAATGAGAAGAACAGTATAATGTAACAACGATCTAGTGTTGTTATACATGTTGTCCCGAAATTTCCAAGACATTTGGGTATTTTGTAACGATCTTATTTTTGAGAAAAAGAAACTTAAATGAAAGATTGTTCAGAATAACAAAATCAAATTGCATATTTTAACATATTTTGCTATTCTGAACAAATTTTTAAATTTTTTGTCAAAAAGGCTATTATTACGCGATATCCAGACATCCCTAAAATTTTAGGACACCCTGTACTATTGTGGTGCATAATAAAGTTGTTATTAGGTTATATAATTTATATTTAACACATTCTTATGTCATTAAAAAATTAAATGTAAATGTTTATATCGAGTTAATTTGATTTGACATACTGCTTTTTTCTTACAAATGTATGCACAAATGCTTTATGCTTGTTAATATAATAGAATTTTATTACTATTGTTACTCACAAAGTTAATATTCAAATAACTATATATCAAATACACAAAACATGTCTTATTATGAAATTAATAATTTTTTTTATTACAAATTTACATCAGGGCGAAATATATATGTGACACGGACAGTTAAAAGGGACTTACGATCCGAAAAAAAGATTTCCAGAAAAACGACTTTGAAGTTTAGCAAGTTGGTTTTGATGCTTGTGAACGTTTTAATGAATTAAAACTTGTTACTCGGAGGTTTTGGGGGTCGCTGATGACGATTATGATGTTATTTTTTGAAAATTCAAAATGGCGGATTCAATATGGCGGATGACTTTTTTAAAAATTGATCAGATTCGCTTGAAATTCGTCACTCGGGGATTTTCGGGGTCGCTGATTACGAATATGGTGTTAGTTTTTAAAAATTTAAAATGGCGGATCCAATATGGGGGAAGACTTTTTTAAAAATTGATCTGATTCGCTTGAAATTCGTTACTCGGGGGTTTTTGGGGTCAGTGATTACGAATATGATGTTAGTTTTTAAAAATTCAAAATGGCGGATCCAATATGGCGGATGACTTTTTTAAAAATTGATCGGATTTGCTTGAAAATCGTTACTCAGGGACGAATTCCAAGCGAATCAGATCAATTTTTAAAAACGTCATCCGCCATATTGGATCCGCCATTTTGAACTTTTAAAAACTAACATCGTATTCGTAATCAGCGAGCCCAAAAACCCCCGAGTAACGAATTTCAAGCGAATCCGATCAATTTTTAAAAAAGCCATCCGCCATACTGAATCCGCCATTTTGAATTTTCAAAAACTAACAGCGGATTCGTAATCAGCGACCCCGAAAACCTCTGAGTAACGAGTTTCAAGCGAATTTGACTAATTTTAGAAAAGTTTGTCAAATTTGATTTTGTTGTACTTTTTTTTGTCAAGGTACCTAACTTTGAAGTGAAATTGTTAAAAAACTAATGCAGCTAGAAAGCTGCGGTTTAATGCGTTGGAAAGAGCGGCTTATTTACTATAAGAATCAATAAAAAAATGAAAATCGATTTTTTCGGACCGTAGGTCTCTTTTAACTGTCTGTGTCACATATATTTACAAGTATAAAATATGCATCACACATTCAACATCAAATTAATTATTTACGTGCAGAAGTGGAATAACAATGAAGCTATTATTTTGATTAATTTTGAGTCACTTTCTTTTAATGGCATTAACATGAATTATTTGGTTCGGAGAAAGTGTTTCAGAATTTTCAATGTAAATTAATAGAAAAAGAAAAAACCTAAGATAAGCAACTACTATCTTGGATATAAAACCACATATACGGCACTGTCAAATTTAAACTGTTCAAATTTAACTTTATATTTAAGACAAAGGACAGCTACATAACATTGTTCCGACACAGTTCTAGAACTACGTTGGAACATTACTTGCAGATTATTTGTGACTAACGTGTTACAGAAATGTTACGTAACATTGTTACAGAATTGTTCCGAATTGTAGTAACAAATGTCTTCCAGAACTTAACAGCAACAGAATTTCAGAACAGCTACATAACATTGTTCTGGCACAGTTCTAGAACTACGTTAGAACGTCAGTTACAGGTCACTTGTGACTATTGTGTTATAGAACTGTGACGTAACATAGTTACAGAATTGTTCCATTTTGTAATAACAAATGTTTTCTAGAACTTAACTGCAACAAAATTTCAGAACAGATACATAACATTCTTCTAGCACAGTTCTAGAACTACCTTGGAACGTCAGTTACAGATCATTTGTGACTTTCGTGTTATAGACATGTTACATAACATTGTTATAGAACTGTGACGTTATCATAATATAGAACAGTTCTGTCACTCTTTTGTAACAACTGTTCTGTAAAACTGTGACATCACTGTTATAGAACATTTATAGAACGTGTTTGCTGGGTCCATATTTGAAATTTTAAATCTCTTTTTTTTGGAAATCCTACAAGTTTGGCAGATTTTATTTTTTCTTGAAATTTTTTTCTCTCTACGCCATCATAAATACTTTTTCTTTTGCAAACGAGAAACATTCTCGTGGTCAAATAAAAAGTTAATATACGCTTAGTGAAAATTTCGCAATGTTGTACACATCCCACGAAGGGTATGGGAGACAAATCGTGAAGCTTTTGCGTCACCTGAAAAAGGGTGTCTGGCTCAATATCTGTCTCATGTACAACACTTGTGATTGCATTCTCAATTATACAAATCAATTTGTATAAATCTAGGGAAGGATGCTTCAAAAAGCCTTTTGTTTTTAAATGTATGAGCTTATGGCGCTCGAGAAGTGTCTCACTATCAGCCATAATTATACATGAGCAACACTCGTTGCAAATAAAAGGTTTATTATTCTTCATGAATTTGACGAATCTGGATCCCTTTCTACTTACGTATCCTGCTACATAAGTAACCGCATATTCTGATGCTTCAGAGTAGGAATAATTATGTTCTTTTTTAACATCTTCATTAATGAAATCACTGCACGAACCTTTATCGATAATGGTGTCCAATATACTTTCCCATTGTTCCTTTCTGTCATTAATATTATTTACATCTTTTAAATTGAGCAATACTTTGAAAATTTCTGTACCTTCTACATTGCAGCCTTTTGTCAGGGTGATCGTTTGCGCCACAGGAATCCCTCATTAACGAGAAAAATCGCTGAAAAAAATAAAATATACACAAACATAAATAATTAAAATTCGTTATTATATGAAAATGATAAAGTTGTTAAAGAGACGATAATTTTATAAATGTATAAATTTTAAACTGATATAAAATCCGAATATTCATCGCCTTTATTAAAGATGTTATTCTTCTGCAAAATTTGTTAGTTCCCTCACAATCCTCTAAATCAATGTGGCGATTTTCGTATATGTCCAAAGCATCATAAATATTAAAAAACTGTAAGTTAATTAATAAATGAAACTGTTTAGTAACTTTCATATGCATTACATAATTTTTATTATTTATAATTGATGATTATAAAATAAACATTTTTTAAAATAATTATTATAACAATAAATATACTTTTCTGAAAAGAATATTCAAATAAAAAAAGGTAATTATTTTTCATGTAAATAATTTATAACTAAAAAAATTTAAAGTAAATTATAGACATTAAAAATATTTTTCAATGATATTTAAAATTAAAAAAGAAACAAAAATCACTGATATATAACGGTTTTAAACGTGTTTTATAGTCACCATAATTATATTGGAAATATTATATATCTAATTTTACAATTTTTAAATTAAAATTTATTATCAGTAAAATTTTACTTGGAAAGCCAATGCCACATTCATTTTTTGAAAATATTTCGGTTGCACATGATCAATCCGTAATTTATAATTAACTTTTAAATCGTATGAATATTGGTTCAAAAGCTCTAATAAAGCATACCAATGCTTTAAGCTTATACAGCCATCAGGGGTCTGTTAATTTATTAAAAAATAATTAAAATATATATTCCTTTATTGAGACATGTCCGTCCATTACATAACACAGTACACAAATAAGTATTTCTTGTATAGTATTCTGCCGTCCCAACAAGAGTAGCAGTAACTACATTTTGGATAAGTCACTTATTGGTGGCAGTGGCAGTGGCAAGTAGGTGACTCATCCTAAATGCAGATACGGTTATTCTTGTTGGGGCGGCAGTATTCTTTACAATTCCTGAGTCTCTGACATTAATAAAATTTCCATCATCATTCCCACGAATTTTTTACATTTATTAATCACAGCGGTTGACAAAATTTCTCTCCAAAATTGCGCTTGTTCATTGCTTAATTCTACATCTGGAAAAAATTTTAATTTAATTTCCCTATATTTACTGCATTCATTCAGGATATGGTTCAGATCCACCCCATCTGACAGGCAAAAAATACACTGTTCCCGATTGAAAATTTTAAATTTTGCTCCATTTAATCGAACGTATTTTGAATGATAATTATTAAGGCGGATTTGTGCCATTCCGCGTTTCAGTTTTAAGCTCAAACTTCCCGTCAGATAGGGTTGTGCTCCTTTGATTAACGGCAAGTGGGGCCAGACCTGCAGGCTTCTTGAACGGGCTCTAGACTCACTATCTTTGTATATTTCGTACTCGATGTACTTTGATAAAAGTTGACCCGAATGCTTTACTAGTTTTGATAAGGAGGCCTCCTCCCATACATTTTGCATGTTGCATACCTCGAAGTAAGGCCTTATTTGTTGGAACCAATTGCCGCACCTCCCCACCGATCCCGAACGCGCCAGCTCCATCAGTCTCTCGAGGCACTGTCTTGGGTATCGTGAAGAGTTCATTAAAGAGATTTTTTCCACCCAAGACAGTGTCCTCGCCAGGACTGCGCAGGATAATGGGAGTCTGCCTGTTTCCAGACGGACCGCATAATTCGGAGTACAGCGCGGAAGGCGCATCAATTCCTTCCAAAAACCCAATTGAACCTTTTCTATTTCCTCCCGACAGGTCTGCCCCCACACTGGGATCCCGTAGAATAGCGTACTCTTTACAGAACTTTCAAACAATTTCTCGTATGCTGACCAGTAATTCAGCTTGAGGCTATCTACTATTCCTATGGTGGCGCTGGCCGCTACTTTTGCAGCACAAATCATTTTTCTCGAAGCTTCAACAAAATTACATTTTTTATCAAAAATGACACCTAGGTATTCGTAGTTGTCCGTGACTTCTATCTTTTCCTTTCCCAGTTTAAAACTTTTCAAGGCGCTAATCTTAGAGTCCGTTGTGTTTCTAAAAATAACAATTTTTGTTTTACTGGCATTAATTATTAGGCCATTTTCGGAACAATAAGTATTCAGCGCCTTGAGTTTTCTATTCAATTCCATGGGAGTATCTGCCAATAAGACCAGATCATCTGCATAGGCTTCCAACAATATTTCTTTACTGCTATTTACTGCTAAGCCCCTACATCCCTGGTCCATTAGGAAGCTCTCCATGTCACTGATATAGAGTGAAAACAAGAGAGGACTGAGCACTTCTCCCTGCAATAACCCCTGAGTTACCCTTACATAATCGGTGCATCCCTGTTCAGTACGAATACATGCATATGCTTGTTCATAGAAGTTTTTCACTATGTTTATAAATTTAGAGCTTATCCCCAGTTTAGCTAACTTCCGCCACAACAGTTCATGAGGGACCGAGGGAAATGCCCCCTTAAAATCCACAAAGATTGCATACACAACCCCCCTCTGGTGTCTTAAATGTATTTGAATTAAAGAAAGAAGAGTAAAAAGGTTGTCCATGCACCCCCGGCCCCTCCTGAAGCCCGCTTGGAATTCTGGGATAGCTTCGCGTGACTCGCACCAAGAAGTTAATCTATCCGTTAGAATTTGAGTAAAAATCTTCGCGACATTATTCACAAGAGTGATTGGCCTAAAGTTGTCTGTGTTAGAAGCATCCCCTTTTTTATGAAACATTAGAGTGATTAGTTTACCCCATGTTGTTGGTACCCTTTCTATTTCAATAATTTTATTAAATAAGTGTTCTAGATAGCATAGCCAATTTTCTGGGAGGCATTTATAAAAATTATAATTTACTAAGTCCTCTCCCGCAGCTTTATCAGCTTTACATTTTCTCAGACTCTTAATTAACTCATCGTAAGAAATAAAACCATCCAACAAAGGGTGCGACTGTTTATTTTCTGGACCTTGACTAGTATTAATATTCGGGAACGCTTTTAACAAAAACTGATACCAAGTATCTTTACCAATTGAATTATTACTACAAGGTTTTTTCTTTTTTTTATTAATCGTGTCCCAAAAATCCGCCGAGTTATGCGCATGTACTATTTTATCTACTAAGGATTTTTCATAGTTTGTTCTCTTAAGTTTTAAAGTAATACGGTAATTCTTTCTAGCCTCTAAATACTCTTTGCGCTTATTCCCATCGTTATCCCCCTCCTGTAACCGCCTCAAAATCGAAACCACGCCTTTTCTTAATAAATGACACTCCCCGTCAAACCAAGGTTTGTTTCTCCGTCTTATTCCCGTACTTTCCCTCACTATTCGAACCATGTCCAGCTCTCTCGCCATATCTATTATCGTCGCAATCATATTATCATTCAATCTATCTATCTCTTCATCCTCACACTCTATATCGTCTCTCCATCTTATTCTTTCTACATAATCCATAATTTTCTCTTTACAAAATATCAGTTTTTTAACAGGTGGAGAGTTAATGGGTTTTAATCTACATAAGTTATCTTTGTTATTTATATTACATTTCACTGCAACAGGAAGATGATCCGACATAGTCGTAATCGGTAGAACGCAAAAGTCATGTAAGAAAATAAAACTATCCAACGTCACCCACACAAGATCGATCACACTTGACCCATTGCTCTGCGAGAAAGTAACTCGAGCCGGCGAATCACTCTTGGATCTGCCATTCAGTACACAAAGTCCGCTATCGTTCATAAATGATTCTAATTTTTTTCCTTTACAATTTAAAATGGGGTCCCTTGATAATCTTTTTGCTATAAAATTAGTACAATTTAAAAAAATATTATCTTCTAGTTGATTTAATTCCCCAATTCTGCAATTAAAATCTCCCCCCAAAATTAAAGGGACTTGTGGTTGCGTTTCTTTAATTAAAAACAGTACACTTTCCAATTCTTCTATAAAAGCATTGATATCCGACAACGGGGAAAGATAAATAGTTCCCAAAATACAATCAAACCAAGCCGATTTCACACGCAGAAAGATATAGTTTCGATTACAGTGTAATAACTTAGCTGTATAAATACCCTTATTCAGCGCTATAAGTATCCCACCACTCGCTCTGCCTCTGACAGCTTCCCTCCACGCCGGTGTATGGAATAGTTGAATGTCACTGGAAAAATTTCCTGAGTATCCCTGTTCGTCTTCCACCCACGTTTCGTAGATACACAAGATGTCAGCCGGGCCGTACGAACTTTTTATATCTGGCACGTTAAAAAAACCATGTATATTCCAAAAGATAAGATTAAATTGGTGATCCCGCGCGCTTCCTCTCCTGGTCTCAGTAAAGGATGCGTCTCCCTATGTCGGTGACTTCTGAACCCGATATTGAGTGAACTCGGCTGAGCGCGTATCCGCTTCTTTTGCAAGAAAATCTATCATACTTTGATTATTCTTGTCATTTTTCAAAAGGTCGCGATTTGTTTGGCGGCCCTTTTTTTTATGCTTTGGAGTTCCTTCTGTCACCTCCTCTGGATCCTCTTGCACTTCAGTAACCTTCCTTTTCTTCTTGGCGGTTAACAGAAAATCAATATCCGCAGGAGTAACTTCCTTATCTTGAATGAAGATTTTATTTTACGTATTGTAAACGATAGTGATAATTAAGAATATAGAAATAATATCATTACCTCAAACAATTATATTGCTCGTTTAACAACTATTTCGAGTTCAAAAGTGCATTTAACACTTACTCAAAAATAAATACGTGCTTAGTTACTGAATATATTAAAAGTGAGTGCAGTGAACTGTCGCATTTGAGTTTCGTGCTTTTTCTCCGTTCGGAAGCGACCGGGACTAAAGGAATGGCAGACTTGGTAACGAAAGACCTGCTGGATAGGCTGCTGAAATCAGTGGATGAATTAAAAAAATCGCATGACGATCTGAGAGGGGAATTGAGAGATTCATGCGGTATGTCCAAGGAAATTAAAGAGGATTTAAAAATTATAACACACAAATTCAAAACCATGGAAACAAACCAGGATAGATTCGACCGCAAAGATAGAGCCAATAATATTATTATTTTTGGCCTGAAGGACGATGAAGACCAGCCTGATTTAATTGATTACGTCACTTCATTATTCCGGAAATTTAATTTGGACATTCCAGACCTGGCGATAGCAGATGTTTTCAAGCTGGGAAAGGGCAATAGCAATCAACCGATCCTGATAAAATTTATTGCGCCAAGGTGGGTGAAACTTGTTTTCACCAAAGTCACTGCATTCAAGGCACAAAAGATCATAATAGCGAATGATCGTTCCAGACAAGAGAGGGAAGCAAGAAGGGAACTTCGTGCTCAGGAAGGACGATTAATTAAAATAAAATTGCATAGTGATGATTTATTAATCATACTTTAAATTATTTTTTTTTAAATTAAATTTTTTTAAAATTAATGCTAAAGTTTATAAAAAATTCATTAATAATTAATTTTTTTTTAATTTCTATAGGCGTACAATAAACTCTAAAATCTTTAATATTAAAAATTTTTAAACCTTTAATGATTTTATACCAAGATGATTAAAAAAAATGGTTCATTTAAATTAAAAAAAAAGATGATATCTCTCCTTAACACTCACATAAATTATAGCGTATTTTAAAAATTTTATTAAAAAGTTCCGAAGTGCTTTTATTAAGTGAGGAAAGTCAGACAAACCCATAATCTTCTTCTTTCATCACAACACGGATGAAAAACGCTTTTTCATCTTCTGTAACACCGAATGTACTCCACATAGATCGATTCCAAGTTGCACCATCATTTATTACTGCATCCACAAAAATCCACTTCTCTCAGTAAGAATAATGAAAAATAAAAACTAAAACATGGTCGCCTTTTTTTGATGATCAAGTGTCCAATCTCCTAGGTTCGTGAAGCCTTCAAACTTTATATTTGAACGATTAATAATAATATCCTAATAGAAAAAATTTTTGCAAACGTTAATAATAAAATATTTTAAACATTTATATGAAAATAACTTAAATAAATTTTTTTAAAATTTTGCTTAATTTTCTAACAAATTTTTAAAGACGTTATTAATTTAATAAAAAAATTTATAAAAGTAAAAAATACTTCATTTAATAAAAGTTTATAATTGGTACAACAATAAATTTTTTTAATGTATGATATTCTTTGAAAGTTTTATAAATAAATTTTTAAAAAATTGATGTCATTTTTGATTTTAGTATTACACCCTTACAAAGTACTAACCACGTCTGTCCTCCGAAGGCATTGCATTTGCTTTAATTTTCATTCCTTCAAAAATATATTGCTGGAATCCGAAAGATGTTTTCAAAATTCGAAGATATCGAGAGAGTGTATCTACACATAGTATTTTTAATATTTCTCTTTTTCGAAGATGTTCATAAGTCTTCTTACTTTCTATGCGTAAAAGTATATACTCGTAAATCCAGTTACTAGTGTAACGCATATTTCTACTGTCTGATATTTTTGAAGCTGCAAAACACGTCCTTGTAGCAATTTACTGTTCACAAGGTAATTGTGAAATTGCTTCCTCAATAATTTTCTCTTTACTTTCAGAACACGCTTTTTTAATTGTCTGTATATGCTCTTTAAGGTTGTCAACTTACAAAAATAAAATAAATATAATTATTATTTAAAAAAAGAATAATAAAAAGTATATAAGAAATATCAGGAATTTGCAGAATAGTAATTGAATGTTTAATTATACTTTCATACCTTTTTTTTAAGTCTTGAACATTGCCGATCAGTGGTTTTAAAACGTTTTATTAATTTATTTTTACTCTCTTTCATTTTATTTGTTTTTTTTCTCTCTATTTATTTTCCTCCTTAATTTTATACAAGAGGAACTGAACATGATTTGTCGACCTCTTAATTTTACATTTTTTTTCACGACATACTCTTTACACGTTTTAGATCTGTAAAAAAAATTGAAGAAAAAATTTGAAAAATATTTTAAAGAAACATTTATTTTTTTATGAATTTTTAATTTTTTTATATGAATATTTTTTATGAATAAGAAACATTATTTAAATTACTTGTTAGAATCAACACTGCCACATGGAATAAACTTATCTATTAATTTAAACAGTGCAGTCATACCACTAATATGCTGTACCTCTTGAATATCTAATTTTACTTCATATTTACTAACATACACCTAAAATAATTAAAAAAAAATTTTAATTATTATTAATTTTTTAATATACATTAATTTAATAAATTAATTATTTTTTATTTTAAAATAAGTTAGAAAATTAATTACCTTAACTTTCAAATCCGGATATAAAATTATGCGTTTACTATTAAACATTTTGTTGTCTGTCCAATTTAAATATACAATGAAATTTGGTGCGCAAACAAAAGACTATTTTTAGAAGGTAATGGTACTTCTGGTTTTTTTGTTAAAATATCTGAAAAAAATATTTTTTCATCAACAATTTCATTCACATTAATGTCATTTTGACTATTTTCAGTGAACAAAAATAATGGAATAGCTCCATCTTTCTGAGTTGCTATTCTTTTAGGTATTTCATAAAGAATCCCATTAATAGTTGTGAAATAACTTTTTTCAATTTCACTTTCTTTAAAGTGCATTTCACAAATTACATTTCTTTTTTGTAATGTTTTTTTTGTCGGAACAACTTTTCTCCATACTTCTAATGTCTTCTCATCCTGCGCAAATATAATTCAGAAAAATTTAATTAATTAAAATTTTCTTACAAAATAAAAAATTATTTAAAAAAATTAAAATTATTTACTTTAAGGGATTAAAAAAATTTTTCAATTTTAGAAACTGGGAAAAAATTTACGTTAAATATTAATTTAAATTATAACGATTTCTGTTATTCATTTTGTCTAGTTCAATATCAAAACTTGTAAACAAAACAAAATATATCAATAAAACCGTTGCTATTTAAAATAATATTACAAAAACAAATTATACTACAATTAAATTTTAAAATTATATATAATTTCAAAATAATTAGATACAATTATTTTCAATGAAATTCAATTTAAATGCATATTTTAAAAAATTAATTATTAATAAATACTGATTATAAGTAAAATGTAACGGTTTCCAAAATTCAAAAAATGTATATTTATTTTTTTTAATGTCAGAAATAAAATAATTTTAAATTTGTTATTAAGATATATTTTTAAATTAAAATATCAGCTTTCTCATTTTATAACAATAAATAAATTACATTTTCTGTTTAAAAAATAAAAATTTACTTTTGCGGAAAAAAAAGAAATTTTTTCTCGATAAATGAAATTTGAAGAAAGGCACTTGTCCACAACATTGCATTTTAGTATTCACAAATTAATACACAATGTTATAATATAATAAAAGATAATAAAAACATTTTTTATTATATTTAATTATTCCATACGTGGTTAACACTTTAATAACATATCTACAATGATCAATAATGATCATGATTTCAGTTATAATCATGATATTTGTATATAGTTAAGAATTTTCCCGCGAGCAGCGCTATTGTTTCATTACGTATTTTCCTGAAACTAAGCGGTTACCAAAATTTGGTCCACTTTCAAATCGACATTTTCATGGTCGTTCGGTCTCCTTATACTACTCCATGGGTGATACCTCGCCTTCAAAATTTGTTTTTATTTTTGACAAATAATTAGACGTGTTACTAATGTAACTAATTAAAATTAATTTAACTAGATAATTATTTATTTATATAAAAATAAGTATTTTGTAATTTTTAATATTTTTTTATTTTTTATAAGAGGTTCTATGTAGTTTGTGAGTGATTAATTTATTTTAATTTTGTTTAATAAAGTGGCCTGATGATGGTATCAAACCAAGACACCGAAACGTTGCCAAACAAGTGATTTAATGTTTCATTTCATACTTCCATTAATTGAAAAAAACTCAATTTCTAATATCAGAATAATGGAAGGAAAAAATATTTAATATTAATACTGTATATTTATAAATATTATATAATAATAATTAATTAATTTTTTTTTAAATTGTTAAGTTTTTGGATTTTGAAATTATTTTAATATAATTTTATTTTTAGTCGGAAATCCAAATATTTTTTAAAAAAGGTTAGCACATCAAGAAAGGGTATAGGGGGTTAAGGATACAAAAAGTGCCCTTGCAGGTATTCTGTTCAAATTGACACCATATATTGCTACCCGTATGAATATAAAATTCTGCAAGTATGAACCCATAATTCGAATTTTTGGGGGAGTTATGGTGGGGGAAAGGAAAATAAAGAAATCCATTTTTCTCGAAAACTAATGAACCGATTTTAATGAGTTTTGAATATGTTATACATGTCGCTAAGACAATTCTAAAAAAAAAAATCTCAAAATTTTTTTTTGAAAAAAAGTCAAAAAAAATTAATTTTGGAATTTTCAAAAATTTTTTTTGGGGTGATTTTTTGAAGTGACCACTTTAATTTTTTTTAAAAAGTTACCTTATAATATCCCCTTTAACATATATTTTTTTCAGATTTTTAAAAAATGTAGTTTTTGAATAATTTAACGAAAACAATCGTCGCGCTACATGACGCAGCGCGCACAGTGTGCTGATGCAGTATACAGAGTGTTCCAAAAGTATGGAAACTTTCAAATATCTCGAAAAGTACGAATTTTTGTAAAAAATGTTCAAGACAAAAGTTGTTCCAAACAAAAAGATTTACATCTTTGAAATCAAAAAATTGGGCCCGGAGCCCAATGTTGGTCCCTATAATGAAAAAAGTGGTTTTCTTAAATGAGACCACTAATTTTCAGTATCAAATTCGTAATCCCCATGAAATTCTGCGTTCAGACATGTGGTATAAGTGCCCAAAATATTGGGCCCAATCCAAGATATTGGGTTCAAAATTTATCAACAGATAAATAAATTTTAAAAAATCGCGTCTTGGAGGGATTTTGAGATCACAGGATTAGAAATTGGAAGCTAATTTTCAAATTGGGCATAGAGCCCAATGTAAGATTCCGCCGCCCAATGTGAGGCCCACGGTAAAAAAAATTAGTTGTCTTGAATAAAACCCATTAATTTTCAGTATCCAATTCGTAATCCCCATGAATTTCTTGGGTTTGACTTGTAGTAAAAATGACAAAAATATTGGGCCCAATGTCTGGGATTAGGCCCAACATTTTTCGTTAAATAAATAAATTTAAAAAGTCGCATCTTTAGTAGTTTTTGGGGTCATAGGATTAGAAATTCGAAGCTACTTTTCAAATTGGGCACAGAGCCCAATGTAAGATTTCGCAGCCCAATGTGAGGCAGAAAAAAGTTAGTTTTCTTCTATTTCGTAATCGTTATGAAATTCTGGGCATAGACTTGTGGTACAAATTCCAAAAATATTGGGCCCTCACATTGGGCTGCAGAATCTTACATCGGGCTCTATTCTCAATTTCTAATCCTTTGATCTCAAAATCCCTCCAAGATGCGATTTTCTAAAATTTATTTATCTGTTGATAAATTCGAATTATGGGTTCATACTTGCCGAATTTTATATTCATAGGGGTAGCAATATATGGTGTCAATTTGAACAGAATACCTGCAACGGCACTTTTTGTATCCTTAACCCCCTATACCCTTTGTTAACTCCAAATTATATTTATTATCTCAAAGTTTCGATGGTAGCCACCATCCTTTTCAAGAGATTACAAAATCTAAAAATAATTTAAAATATAATTTACATATAACTAAGAAAATTAAAAATAGTAATTTAAAAACTAAAAGTGTCCCTTTTGCAGATAGGGGAAAAAATTCTTCAGTCATCAGAGATTGTAATGCAAAAAAAATGAAAAATTGAAAATCTCTCTTTGAGAAAACTCACTTATTAAGTTTAATTTCAACTTTTTTTTTTGCTTTCGTTATAGGTACGTAATTTTTGAGCACATATTTGAAAAATTTAAGAAAAAATTAACAAATTTCATATATAGCATAATATACTCAAAAAAAGATCTTAATTCTTTAACTCGCGTTGCCCTTCCGACAAATAAATTGTATATGTAGTGGATCCCTCCTTACCTCACTATTATTCAGTGAGTTGGTTGAGATTCCATATTAATAGAACATTGGTTTTAGGAATATTTAAAAGAAAAGGTGAAACAAATATTTAAATAGTTGTATATAAAGATGGGGCATTCTATGGGAAATTTTCATTGAAAATTTTTTTTGTTCGAAACATTTTTTTTCGAAATCTATATGAAAAATAAGGAAATACGTATTTTTTTATTTTTTTATTTGATGAAAATGAAGGAAGTTATGATTTTTTGAAATTTAACGTCAACGAAGAAAGTGTGTTTTTGGAACATTTTTTAATCTATTGTACTAAGGAATTAAAAATTATGCTATATATGAAATTTGTTCATTTTTTCTTAAATTCTTCAAATATGTGCTCAAAAATAACGTACCTATAACAGAAGCAACAAAAAAGTTGAAATTAAACTTATAAAGTGAGTTTTCTCAAAAGAGACACTTTCGATTTTTAATTTTTTTTTTGCATTACAATCTCTGATGATTGAAGAATTTTTTCCCCTATCTGCGAAAGTGGTATTTTTAGTTTTTAAATTACTATTTATAATTTTTTTAGTACGGCTCACAGAATTTAAGCATTTTTTCTACAAATATAACCTTTTTCCATTAACATTCATTTGGTTTTTTTTAATTTTTATAAAAACATACTAAAAATCGTTGCGTCAAGCTTAAAAATTGTAAATAGTAATTTAAAAACTAAAAGTACCACTTTCGCAGGTAGGGGAAAAAATTCTTCAATCATCAGAGATTGTAATGCAAAAAAAAAATTAAAAATCGAAAGTGTCTCATTTGAGAAAATTTACTTTATAAGTTTAATTTCAACTTTTTTGTTGCTTCTGTTATAGGTACGTTATTTTTGAGCACATATTTGAAAAATTTGAGAAAAAATGAACAAATTTCATATATAGCATAATTTTTAATTTCTTAGTACAATAGATTAAAAAATGTTCCAAAAACACACTTTCTTTGTTGACGTTAAATTTCAAAAAATCATAACTTCCTTCATTTTCATCAAATAAAAAAATAAAAAAATACGTATTTCCTTATTTTTCATATAGATTTCGAAAAAAAATGTTTCGGACAAAAAAAAATTTTCAATGAAAATTCCCCATAGAATGCCCCATATATATTGAGAAAGAAAGACAAGTGATACAATAGTAAAGTATTCTATATTCAAATACAATTTAAACGTGTGAAATGTATTGTATGTGTAAGAATGTTGTGTGTGAAATTTATTAGAGTCTCTTGACTCTTATGATATTTACCTCTGGAATTCCTCAGATTTGTTTCTTCAAATACACTCGATTATAAATACATTTCATATATTAAATTAAACCTCCAATTTATTATAGTTATTTTCTATTCTCTTTTTCTCAAACAATCATGACAATTTCAAACTCAATATAAAACTTAAAACATTATTTCTCAATTACTATTCATTTTTCAATCTCAAATCAAAACTAAGTGATCTCAAAAACCCAATTTTATACTCTTTAATCAAACTCTAAAACAAATTCTCTTTATTCAAAAACTTCAATTATTCACTCTTTGAAATCTCAAAATTAAATACTCTTAAACCAAATCTTAAACTCAAAATTAAATACTC